TAACTCAAATCTGACTAGGTTCGGTGACGAACATGCATACGAACTTACAGTAGCGTATAAAACACGCTTTTAGCAAAAACCGTCCGAACTCGGTGTATGCACTCTCTCCGATCTAGCAACTTAGTAAACATAAAATAGGTCACTCGCGAATGGGATTCGACCCGATCGTTGTCATGAACGGGATTGAAGAAATTTACTGCGTTGTTCAACGTGCTGGTTACGTACAGCTTTCCGAAAGTTACACGGCTCTGAAATGTAAAAACCGAATGCGGTTGCTGGGACTCGACATGTATTACTTAGGGTTAGAATTTGAGTACTGAGTTACAACCCCGGTTTTTACTAACGTCAACAATTGGACATCCATATCAAACAGATTCTACTGAGTCTCATCATTGAGTTATGCCTGTGTGGATGGCAAAGCAAGATGGCCATTGAGTGTAACCAGTTTACGTCACGAAGAACATAATTGAACGTTTATCTAACGGTCAAATGCGTTACCCAGTTTGCGAATAGCAACCTTGGTTCCAACTACCGAAGACACATTTTTTTACTCGTCGGTTTACTTAATTCTTATTGTTACGTTTTTTCAACTCGTTTCTATTTTGTGAATAAACTTGCTAGAGAAGGCTAAACTAAAACTACTACTTTCGACAAAACCGGAATTGAACTAAATCGATGTGGCTTCGATGTATAAAATGTACATGTCAAGTACGGTTGAAGACAGTACCGAAAACATGAGGGACTGATTCCTAGCAGATCTCATCGTAACTGTTCGAGCTGCATGTAGGAAGGTGGGGTTATCCGCAACAATTTCAAGTGCCCGTTTTAATAGTGGGTGGTTTCCGTCAAAAAATAACGTCAAGTTTATTTATTTACTGAAACCTAATTTTATAAGCAAGTGTTTGAGTACTGCTACAATCGCTATAACCTTAAAAATGAGTGGGGCTATCTCTTGTGCTGGGTTACTGGCACTGATCACGCGACTGCTTGAATAGGAGAAGCAATCGACCGCGATCAATCCCCGGCCAACTAGTTCCGAAGCAAGATTTGGCGACATCCAGCCTTGCAGCATCACTTTGCACTTTCAAAGTGTAAAGCACATACGGAATGGAGCAGCAGAACTTATCCGTCTCTCACGAGTATTTTGCCTATTCTCAACACATTTGAACAAAAAAATGATAATATCGGCGAATTCCAAATAGCTGCCAACAAAGGAAGAAACGATTTAGTGCTCTCCAGTATTTCGTCAACAACGAAATTGGTTTTGTAGCATTCCCTAACAAATAAGCGAACAAATTAGGGCTTCGTGGTGAAGGCTCTCTTGAGATCGGGAACACGGACCGTTGGTTGATTATCCGGTTGTGCTGTATACCAATAATAGCATAAAAAGAGCAAAATGATGACGACGATAATAATAATAATAATAATAATAATAATAATTACTATTATGAAAGGATTTCATCTATTGGATATTCGGTAAACTAACGAAGTGATAACACGTTCAGTTACCTTCGGTCGTGGAACTGATGCCAACGGATCACAGTAGACACGTGTGCACACAGACTATTCGCTAGTTTCAGGAAGTATGGAAGATGGTACTATGTGGCCATCGATTTTATGTGAGGTGAACGAGCGCCCAAATTGAAGAAATGAAAACGTGGGAACGTATTGTGTGAGCTCCGAGGAAAAGACAGTTAGGCGGACGCAAAAACAACGTACTGATAACTTTTAAAATGAGCGTGAAACACTGTGGCGGTATTCGATTGGTTCGCTGACAAAGTTGTTCCTTTTCAATCGATCAAGTAGAAAAAACAAACTTGGGAACTGGTCTACCAGTGATTGTCGCAGTATTATCTATACCGATGTATTGTGCAGCTCTTGCGAATCGGGACAGATCGAGGTATCGGAACAACATTCCAGTGAACTAAACTATTACTACCACTACTACTACTACGACGACGACGACGACGACGACCAGCTTATGAGAATGATCCGATGGTTAGGTTGAGCTAGCAAAGCAACACATTTGGTGCTCCGCTCAATTTATCATTTGACTTCGAACAATTATTGAAAGACGGTAGAAAAGCACCGGAGAGGAACCAGAAAGAAGACTCTAGTATGAAAGTCCGCAAGGAGTAACCCATTACATCCCTGTGATCAGAAACACTGAGTGATATGGCTGGGTGTCGCAAACAGTGGCGTTCGTGCATCTTCTTAATTTCTTTGCAACCTTAGACCACTGAACTTCTTCATTTTCTGTTCCACTTCACTTTCAACTTTCCTTTCTCCTATTCTTCATCCAAATTGGCAGCCAAAACCGGTGCACGATAGTGCATGGTTAATGGTTGTTCAAACTGGACTGAACTGAACGACGTTTTCATAACTACAGAGTGAAAATTCAAACTAAAGTGGTAAACTCATCACGGTGCCAGAAAAGAATGAAGAAACCAGAAAACTTACGTCCACCAGGGCCACCTTGAAATGACCAAGAACCAGACGGTCCTAAACCGGGGGAAGAGTTTAG